TAAGGTGCCCACAAGACTTATGCCTGTATATATAAGATTTTCGTATAGAAGTTTTGATTTGGTATGATTTCTAGAGGAAAATAATAATTAGAGTCTGAGACCCTCTCCAGGGATGCCGGGACCATGTGCACAGCCTTTGGAAGGAAGTGCAGCTTTGAATTTTTTTGGCTTCTTCCCAGCACTTTCACTTCAAAAATAAGCTTGAGACTCTTCTCCTGCACATAGACCTCTTGAAATAGTGATTTCAAGCGGAAGGAGGGGTTGTGGTGTTCCGTTTCTCCCTCCTTGTTCTCCTAGACCTTGCTCTCAGAGTTGGGGTGAGTCTGACCCCGAGAAGTATCACCTGTTGTGCTAGGTCCCCTGCAGGATGCAGCCACAGGGGGCTCTGGAGGCTGCTCTGCTCTCTCCTGCCGACAGCTGACTCTGGCTGAGCGTCTCACTTTTGAGTGCCCCTGGCCAGTGTCACCTGGAGGAGGCACCGCATGTCTGGAAGAAGGCTGACCGCTGGCCCACTGGGGTTTCCTCTCCTCCCTGTGACATTGTCTCTTCCCTCCAGGCCCAGCCAGAGCAGACATGAGGGGAGCTCTCTGGTGACGAGCAGACAGAGCCAGTTCACATTGCTCCAAGGTCCCAATGTGGGGAGGTGTCACACCCAGGGCACACACAGGGACGCTTTGGTGTAAGAAAGCTCTGGTAACCCTTCTGTTAACTCAGGTACCTTAGACTCAATGCGAGAAGTGTCAGATAATACCCCAGAAGAGATTCTTCCAGTCCTAGCAGGTAGAGTACCCAAAGCTGGGAGCTTTGAAGGCTTGTCATCGGCATGGCATCTCAGATTCACTGTTGTCTGACCTTCAGGGCTACACGAATCATAATGAACCAAAATACAGTTAATCTCCCAAATACAAAGTTCCCTGCTTGGAAACAGGATGATGTTGAGATGCAGCTTTGTATGTTTCATCCTTTGTTAGCAATATTGATAGATGTTTGAGAGGCCACATGAATATTTATATTTCATCTGCTCTCTGTGTGTGTTTCACCAAAGGCAGAAGAGCCAGATTATGATATTGTAAATTTTCTGTACAGTGAAATGCAGTAGGCTATGATTTCCTATTGCCAAAAGAAAATAAAGGTGGGCTAAGGAGCTCTGAAATTGCAAAAAGAGGACTAGAGGAAGGGTCCAATTTCTGAGCTCTGTACCCGAATCGAAACCCGGCTGTTCAGATTAATCCAGGGAACACGCTGGGTTTAGAACCAGTGCCGCAACTTAGAACCAAGGCCCAACGCAGGAATTGGGGTCCCCATCTACTCTTCTCCCCATTCCGAGAGTTGAAACCAAGTAGGCCCTCTGTTTCTCAGCTCTCTGAGCCCAGGTATACTGTGAGTTGATTGACATGGAGATTAGGCTGCAGCTTTGAGATCAGCTTTTCCATGGGCTATTCTATGTGAGTTAACGTGTCAGCCTGGGAGCACCTGGTATTCCATCTGGTTCTGGTGTGAGCAATACAGAGTTCACAACATAAAAGCTTTTGGCCTAACCCAGGTTACCTTAACCAGAAGCCAGGGCTGTAAGCTACCTGCCTGACTTTCATGGGTCATGATAACTTAGTTGGCTTTTTAATTAGGGAGGATCCAGGTAGGCTGGTGTGGTCAGATCAGCTTTATTACCAAATTACCTAAAACTTCAGAACATGGCAAGAACAGTGGGCAGCTTGAGAAAGAGAACTTTAAGGGGAAAAGGACAGGAAACTTTCAGGGGTGGCAGCAGGCAGCAGCCGAGCCCCAACCTCAGGGCGAGGGGAGGGCGGTCTGCGGCTGGCCTCTCTTTCTCCACACAAGACAAAGCTGCTGGGTGGGCATCTCCACAGAGTCCTTCCGGCCCACACACCACTGAGCCAGGTAGTTCTGCTCGGCCCTTTCTCTTACGCCTCAGTTGTCTCACCCACTTTTCCAGTAAATCACTTTTTCGTTTTTATGATTTTGGGAGATACATTTCACTTGAGAAGTTTTCAGCCAAGTTCCACCATGAAGAGGAATTGTATTGACTAGAAGTGCCCCTGATGGGCACACGTGCAGCTTGTAGGCTTCAGACAGAGACAGCCTGGGACTTCCTCGAACCACACAGACCACTCAGCCCAGTAAATCCTGGCTGCCACGTGCCAGGAACAGGAATGGTTGGTTCATCAGATATCAGATGGATGAATCATTTCCAGATTGTTCACACCCAGGGAACACATTGCTAAGACCCCCGTCCAGGGTAGGCTCTTGTGGGGCCCGGGGCTCCTGTGTCCCGGGGATGTCAGTGGGCAGTGCTCCCGCTGGAGGTTCTTGGTTGCTACTGGAAAGTGGAAAAGTTGCTGTTTCGAGGAGATAGTGAGGACGGTGGGTTTGTTCATCTCACCATCCCTTCCACGCACCACTCAGCCCAGTAAATCCTGGCTGCCACGTGCCAGGAACAGGAATGGTTGGTTCATCAGATCTCAGATGGATGAATCATTTCCAGATTGTTCACACCCAGGGAACACATTGCTAAGACCCCCGTCCAGGGTAGGCTCTTGTGGGGTCCGGGGCTCCTGTGTCCCGGGGATGTCAGTGGGCAGTGCTCCCGCTGGAGGTTCTTGGTTGCTACTGGAAAGTGGAAAAGTCGCTGTTTCGAGGAGATAGTGAGGATGGTGGGTTTGTTCATCTCACCATCCCTTCCACGCATGTCCCTCCTGCAGGACATCCATGCAGTTTGGGGAGACCCAGACCCTGCCAGAGCAAAGTCAGACCCCGAGCCTGCTGCAGCCTGAGGCCCCCTAGAGCTGCACTTTAAGGGATTTTGCATTTTTAACTAGAAAGAGGATTCTTGTTGGCAACCCCCCCTTCCATTGAACTTGAGCTGGAGACTGTGCTCCTAGATGGAGACTTGCTCCTAGATGATGTGCTCATGAAGGAGAGAAAGCGCAGAAGGAGGCGTGCCCTCTGAGGCAAAGCTCTAGCCCGCTGCGGATTCCAGCAAGCCTGGGACCGTCACTTGGGTCTTTGGGGTGGACACCTTGTGGAGGATGTCAAACATTTGAACACTAGGAAATGCTGGAAATTCAGATAACATGCATATATCCCCTTAAAATAGGTAAACGTGTTAGAACTCAGTTAATCTGCTTCCTTCCTTATGCATTGTGATTTCTGTTGGAACTTTCAGTGATATTTTACATATGTACATTCTTTGGTTTCTTGTTCAAAACTGAGTTTTATAGTATGTTACTATATGTAATAAATAATACAATCAATTATATATTATTTTATATCTTATCTATTATATGGAACATCTAGGAGGTTTTAGTTATTTTCGGAGTGAGTATCCTGCCTGGTAGAGTCAGGGAAGGATTCCTGGAGGAGGTGTCATAGAGCTGGATCCTGGGTGATAAAAATCTCTGTGGTGAAGACATTAATCCTACAATGATCCCAGGAGCAAGATGTGTGTCCCCTACCTTATGGTGACAAATCCATGGCATCCCAAGTGGGGAATCAAATACAGGGCCATCTGGCTCCAAAGTGGCACATTTATCCACTAGGCCAGAGTGAGAGGCTGAGGGGGAGAGCGTTCCAGCCGGGGTCTTCAGAAGGCAGGAGGCGTGCTGGGTCACCCAGAGCGCTGATGCCCACAATTTAAAGCGCCCTGGCCCTCAAAAGAGTCCTGCAGCTGGGGACAGGCCCACCAGCGGGAGGTTTGTGGCCCAGCAGGAGTCAGTAGAGAGAGAAGTTTCTATTCTATTCCATCTCTTCGTGGGGAATCTGGTCCTACTTAGAACTTTCGCTGCCCTCTTGTCACAACGGCACTTTCCAGCATTGCGCTGCTAGGATCCACGGCCAGGTGTGGCCTTGGGGGATGGAGGGCTGTGGACCAGTGGAGCAGGTCTGTACGTTCAGGCTCCAGTTACACTTTCTAACCTGCCAACCCCCAAGCCTTGTGTGGCATTCAGGGACAGAAACGTCCACACGCATGTGTGGAGCGCAGAATCCAGTTCGAGGACCCACATGTACTCACGAAGGCCTTGGTCTCCCCGAGTGGAGCCATCCACAGGAGAGCAGATTCACCCAGCCTGCCCTCGGAGACAGTGTCAAAGATTGGCTCCCAAATGTGCACCCAGAGGGCCCCAGCAGGCAGCCGCCCGGTCCAGGGACCCCACCCCTTCCTTCACATCTGTCCCCCCCGACCTCCATGGACTTCTGCAATGTGTTCTGGTCTCAAAGTCATCCTGCACATCATGTCACGTGTCATGGGCTGAATTGTGCCCCAGATTCATATGCAGAAGTCCTACCCCCAGTACGCCAGAATGTCACCTTATCGAGAAATAGGGTCATTGCAGATGCTGTTAGTCAAGCTGAGGCCTCTCTGCCGGAGTAGGGTGGGCCTCTAATCCCATATGATGGGTGAAAAGGGAGATTTGGGCACAGGCTTGAAAGTGCACAGGGAGAACGCCACATGAGATGAAGGCAGACATCGAGTGATGCATCTAAAAGCCAAGGGACCCTGAGGACTGCCAGCAGCCGCCAGGGGCTGGGAGAGAGCCTGGAACAGACTCTCCCTTACAGCCTCGGAAGGAGCCAGCCTGTGGACACCTTGCTCTCCAGAACCTGAGAGACTGAATTCCTGTTGTATAAGTGCCCCCAGTTTTGGGATTGTCAGGGCAGCCCCAGGAATCTAATCCACTGTGCTCCCAACATTAACACGGTGTAAAGACACCGGAGCCCCCAGAACAAAAGTAGGAAAAGAGACAGAGCAGGAATGAGGTTGAGATTCACACAGCATTTATTGAAAACCTACTAGCACCAGGCACCATGCCAGGCACATCGATCCCTAGAGCAACCTGTGAGGTGAGTGATGCGGTGTCCATTGTACAGATGAGGAAACTGAGACTCGGAGGACACATGACTGTCCCAAGGGTAACCAGCAAAGCCCACCTGAGGACCCAGGGCCAGCCGCAGTTCTTCTGACCATCACGGGGATTCTCTTCCTATTTATGGAGTCCATGCCCCTCTCCTGTGAGATCCTCCACCGGGGCCTCCTCGCTTGAGTCGTCCTCACTCACCTCCTCCTCTTTTCTCTGGCTCTGAATGGTGCTCTGAGCACTCTAAATGATGACAATAATAAAAACCACAGCAACAATATCAATAATAACAGCAGTGATGAGCCTTAAGTGTCCTCCGTGCGACAGGCAGAGTTGTAAGAGCTTGGCGTACATTGTCCATCTAACAGCACAACCCTGGGATGAGGCTGCTGTTATCAGCCTCTTCGAAGGTGAGGTTTCTAAGGCACAGAGAGGCTGAGAGACTTTCCGAAGGTCACACAGCTGGGAGCATGGGTGTGGACCAAGATGGTCTGACTGGGGGCTTTTCTTCCTCTAGTGACTTTAGAGTCACCCTGAAAGCCATGAGATGATCCCCACACACGGGAGCATGGGTGTGGACCAAGATGGTCTGACTGGGGGCTTTTCTTCCTCTAGTGACTTTAGGGAGAGTCACCCTGAAAGCCATGAGATGTTCCCCACACAGCCACACCCACACGGCGGGCTGGCTCCCCACCTCACCCCCCACTCACTGGGACCAACCTGCCCTGACTGGCAGGAGGCTATTTATCCTACTTGGATGAACACTTGAAGCTTTCCCTGTACAAATATCAATGTGTTTGATGATGGGCCATGCTGGGGCCGTAGAGTAACGTGTAGTAAATGCACCTTATTCCTTTTCTAACATCTGAGAAATTCTGAATTCTGGAACCCATGGGCCCATGGGTTGGGACAGGTGTGGACCTGCCTGCAGCCCTCTGTCCCCCAAGTGGAAACACCTCAGAATGCCTCTGGGGGTGCTTGGAACACATGGCAGCCTCCGGGGGCACCGTGTGTGGCCGGCACGGGCACCGCACTGGCTGACGGCCTTTCTTGGTTCTGTTTCAAGGCAAAATTCCAGGTCGACCCTCCATACTCCCCACACCGCCACCTCCTCTTGTTTCAAATCCAAGTTCGCAGATGGCCTCTCCTCTGATCTCTGGGATCACTACCATCTGTCCTTCCCCTGCCACTTCACTTCGTCACAGGTTCAACCCTCATCCACCCGAGTGCTCACCTGGCTGGCGAATGACCACGGGACAGATGCAGAGGGGTTGGTATTAGTGAGTGGCCGAGTGTCGTGATGCCCATAAACTCCTCGCATCTTGTCTCTAAAATCCTGCCAAGGAGAGACCAGGGCGGGTTGGATCCAATCAGAAAACACAGCAGGGGGGAGGATCGGAATGAAAGGTGGTGGGACAAGAAGGCCCGTCTATAGCTAACACCAGTGGAACCCACGTCCTATCTGGAGCTTCCTGTTTGTCATTCCACGTAACCTACAGCAGCCCTGCAAGTGGGCATCATTGCATGTTATAGGCGGGAAAACTGAGGCCCAGAGAGGCTAGGTAACAGGTCCATAGACACACAGGAAAATAGCTAGATTAGAGATTGCCCTCGCCCCTAAAAGAATATTGTAGAGATGAGTGAATTCACAAGAGCCCGTCTGATCTCTATTTAACCTCATGTGGTGGTTTTAAAGCTTATCCTCAAATTCCCTGACAATTCTCCTATTGGCAGCTAGAATTGAACTCCCCTCTCCTTGAATATGGGCTGGCCTTAGTGATTCACTTCTGACAGACAGAACGTGGCCGAAGGCACAGTGAGTTACCTCTGAGGTTAGGTCATACAAGGCATAGATTTTCCACTGTCTCAGCCAGTGCTTGGAACAGCCTCCCTGCTATGAGGAAGGCCAAGCCACATGGAGGCCATGGTGGGCATTCGGGCTGTAGACCCCACCGGAGACCCAGAGAAGGCAGGCTTTGTGGGGTTGCAGCTCATGCAGTCGCCCAGGGCCCCACATTCAGAAGGACCCTGTGCTGGGTTTAAAGCTCTGCCATCACTGTCCTGAAAGCCTAAGTAATTGTTGGATGAAGGGCCCCACGTTTTCCTTTTGCACTGTGCCTGAAAATCCTGTGACCTGTCCTATACCCAGATGACAGCAAGGATCATCTCCCAGACATGAGCAAGGAAACCTTTTAAATGACTCCAGTCCCAACCACTGACAAACTGCAGCAGCATGAAAGACCCCACCTGAGAACTGCCCACTGAGCCTTGTCACCCCCAAAACTACCAAAGATCATTGTGATATGCAATTGTGGTTTTACAACGCTGGGTTTGAGGCAGGGTGTTATTGACAGCTCAGATAGCTCATTCTAGAGCTTCATCAGATCCAATGGAGATAATAAGCACTTTATCCTGTATCAAAACTATACCGAACACCACCCAAGAGACACCTGTTATGGTTGTTGTTCGTGGTTTGTTTTTAAACACCCCGATGATGAGGAACATGTTGATATTGCAGATAGCATTTGGAAAAATTCTGCACCTTTAGGTTTGACACCAGGGGTAGATATTTAAAACAGTTCATCCGAATGAGTCTTCAGAGTTAGAAAAATCACAAAATGTTGCCAACAAAAACTGCTTCTATCAAGACAGAACCAAAATCAAATTCTGCCCCACAGCACCACATAGAAAATGGGGCACGTGACCTACCTGCAGATCTCTCTCCAGGTCATAGTTCTCCAGGGTCTGGAAGGCGCTGGAATACACCTCCACCGCCTTGGCATGGAAGACCATCTCAATGGTTACGAAGTCCGAAAAAATTTTCTATGGGGAGAGGAGCCCAAAGCACATAAGCACCCCAGTGAGAAAACCAGGGCTGGGGTAATCTCGAAAGGACAGATGGGGGCTGGCCAGTTAGCTCAGTTGGTTAGAGCACAGCCTTGTAACACCAAGGTCAAGGGTTCAGTTCCCTATATCGGCCAGCCACCAGGAAAAAAAAAAAAAAAGGACAGATGGGAGCAGGGGTGAGCAGGGGTCATAGTCCATGCAGGGACAGGTCCTAGGTGGGGAACCTCAATGTCATTTTTTATTTATTTTTGTTCAACCAGATCCTGTTCCTTTTTTTTTTTTTTTTTAAAAAAAAGATGACCAGTAAGGGGATCTTAACCCTTGATTTGGTGTTGTCAGCACCACGCTCTCCCAGGTGAGCCACAGGCCGGCCCTCAGATCCTGTTCCCTTCTTTCCCATCCCCCTCTTCCTCCTTGAGAAAACGTCCAGAAGTTTCTTGTTTCTCGTGTACCCGCCCCCCCTTTCTCCTCTCTTTCTCCTCCATGCTGATCCTTGCTTTTTTCCAGTTAACAACTGGTCCAGGAGACCTTTCCACAGGAAGCTTCCTTGTTCACTTCTGTCTGCTGTACATCCGCACAGTGCCCCTCCGTGTAGACAGAGCCATCATCCATGGGACAGTCCCAGCACCTGGACACTTGGATCGTTCTCGGTCTTCTGCTGTAACAAACAACACGGTCCTGGAGACCCTCACACATGTGTCCTTTCATTCCTGGACTACTGTAGCTGTGGGATGAGTCCCAGCAGTGGAACCTCAGGGTCCTGGTCACACATACTCATGCCTCTGATCAGAGCTGCCCGTGTGTCCTGCACAGGATGTCACCAGGAATGGGTGAAACAGGTTCCTCAGTGAGCACTTTCCAAGCATCCTTTCCTTTCTCACTCCAAGGACAGGTGTTTCCGGGCTGAGGGCTGCAAAACCTTCAACTGCTGCCACCCAGGCTGTGGGTGGGTCTTCTGGGGAAGGAGGGGGACGAGCGGCTGGTGGACACTGCTCAGTCCGGAGGCCTCACAGCCTGATGGGGCCAGCTCGTCACAACACGATTACTGATCATAATGGTAGTTTCTCTCGATCAGATGACTTGTCTCAGCCACAGGAGCTCTCACAGGGCTCCTACTGCATGTCAGGCCCAGCCATGGCCTTACTGGGGGGTGGGGGGCCCTAGCGGAGGCTTCTATTTGTCTTTGGCCCCAGCGGGACAGCAGTTTAGTGCTGGGGGAGGAGCCTGCAGTTTGGAAACACCCCAGTTCACAGACCATGGGAAGTGCCCCACCCCCAGCCTGGAAAAGACAAAGGAAGGGGGCCCAAGTCTGTGGTGGAAATACCTGCCCCCCACCCCTTCCCCTCTTATCCTGGGGTGCTGCGTGGGGCAGTAACAGCTGCCGAACCAACAGGCCAGGGTTCAAGGCCTTGCTCTGACATTCGCTGGCACGTGTCCCTAGGGAAATGACTTATCCGCCCAAGCCTCAGTTTATTTCTGTGTACAGTGGGGATAAGAGTAGTCCCAGTTCCCAGAGGCCTTTGAGAGTCAGCAGCTTTCAGACGGTGCTCCTCACCCTAGCCCCAGCCTCAGCCTCAGCCTCAGCTGGGAGCCAGGCCCACCTCAGACCCACCACATCAGAGACCCCAGGTGCACGCTTAGGTGACAGAGCCCGTATGGCACTCACCTTATTTTACAAGAACCAGAGAACTAGTTTGTAAATAAAATCATTTTGTTGGAAATGCAACCTAAAGCCAGCATTATGGTTAAATTACAGATGCTCCTCAACTCACGACGGGGTTACAGCCAGATAAACCCATCACAGGTCCAGGAGGAGGTACTGAATACCTATCACTTTTGCACCATCGTAAAGTCAAAAAATCGTTAAGTCAAACCTGCTTGAGTTGGGGGCCACCTGTAATTAGCTCATGTTCTTGTTTTTCTCTCTTTTAAAATTTGGAGGGCTTTCCTAGGGATGGTTTGGATACGTGTACCTTACAAATTTAATCCCAGAGTTTGTAAGCATACCTGTTTAAAACTGCACGCTTCTGCTGGCCCCTGGCCTGGAAGCTGTGGCAGTGTGTACACTCTCGCAGGCACCCCCATGAGCCCTGCACACGTCAGAGGCTTAATAATGTCTGCTGATCCATTTAGGTCCCACCTGCCACGTAGACAGCTTGACCACCAACTGTCACTGTTTCAACCATATGGGCATTCATTCATTCATTCACTCATTCATTCATTCCATAAATATTTGCTGAGTCCCCACTAAGTGCCAGGCCCTGGGCTTGGTGGCCAGGATCTAGCAGGGCACACGACGGGCAGGGGGTCTGCCCTGTGATGCTGACACACAGTGTGTTTTTCATGAGGTTCTCTACTGCCTGGTGTAAAGCGCACATTATGCCATCGATCACATGGGCTGTCGGTCTCCCCCGAGGGCGTCAACTCCATGAGCACAGGGACCTTGCTTGACTGGATGTGGCATCCCCAGCATCAGGCAACGTGCCTGGCACATAGTAGGTGTGTATTCAAGCAAATGAAATATATAATGAATCTGTCCCCCTGGGACAGCAGCCCCCAGAGGGAGCAGAGCAGAGTGTATTAACAATTGGCCTGACCCATCTGGGGTCCAGGTGAATCTCCTCAAGGAATAAGGTTGGAGCCAAGTCTGTATGAGAAGGCGTTAACTCAGTGCAGAGCGAGGGCAGAGACTTCCCGGCAGAGGGCACAGCCTGTGCAAAGGCCCTGAGGTAGGAAAGGGCTTGGCACACTTGCGTGTAGAGTGTCATGCAACATGAGGCTACAGGGCCGGGCTGGGGCTTCAAGAGCCCTGGAAGGATTTTGGCCTTTTTCCTTAGAACAAGGGAAGCCACCAGAGGGTGTTAAGCCCAGGAATGACAAATTGGGTCTGCTTTAAAAGGCAGAAGCTCCTGGGGCTGCAATTTGGAAAGTGTACGAGAGGGGGGTCCAGCATGGGGGCGGGGATCTCTGTGATCAGCTTGTCCTGAAAGACCCTAACTCCGCGAGACCCTCTTGCAAGAGCTGGGCTATGGGCCCAGGATTCTGTCGCTCTGGAGTGGGGTCTGGGTGGAAAGAGGAAGGCACCCACACCCACCCCACTGTGCCTCAGCATGGCTCGTTCAGAGGAGGGCGTTGGAGCTTCAAGGAGGAAGGAGGAAGTCAGGGCAACCCTGTGGATCGCTGGGCGAAAAGGGAGAGCAGGAGTGGGGAGTGTGTGTTGGGGGGGACAGTCTGCCAAGTTCTCCTCCTGGATGGGAGCTACGCCCAGGGCCACTGAGCGGCTTCCGGGCAGCCAGCTGTGTCGGGACAGCTGCCCTCGGCAGCCGGCCTCTTACCCCCTGTGGCCAGGATTAACTGTCCCGGGAACCCGAGAGCCGTGTGGGCACAAGTTCACACACGTGCGCTCACACACGCTAGCAGATGCTCACACAGACACACATCCACTTGCACACACTCACACACAGTCACACAGATACATGCACAGAGACACGTGCATGCACAGAGACACACACACACAAGGCAGCCCAGAGTGCTTCCAACATGAGACTGACTGCCACTACCTGTAGGTCCTTCAGCTTCTGCTTCTGGAAGGCGTACACCGTCTCCTCCAGCTGGTGGGTGCTGCGGCTGGCGTCCACCGAGGCCCTCTGCACGCTGGTCTCTGCCTGGCCCCAGAGACACAAGATGTGGAAAGGGTCACGGGGATGGTCTGGCCCTTAGACATCATTCTGATCATCCTCAGTGCCTGCACCCTTCTCTTGGGCCAGCTCTCCTGCTGCATGGTGCCTCTCACCAATTTGGTCGTAGAAGGAATGGCTGAGTAGGACCATGGCTGATGGGGCAATCACTGGAGTTGGACAGACATGCTTGCTAGCTGTGTGACCTCAGGCAACCCACTTAACCTCTCTGAGCCTTGATTTTCTTGCCTGTGAACAGGAGACAGTCATAAGACCTGCTTTGCTTGGCTTGCTTTGAGAACAGTGAGCACCTGCTGAGCTATTATCATAACAGGTGCTCCAATTCATTGATAAGTATTCTTGCACATGGAACAGTATTAGGTAACTAACTCATTCATTCCTTTAACTGTTATCTATACAAGCCACCTCCACGCCAAGCCCAGAACATGAAGAGCCTGGATTTTAGAGTCAGGTGACGCTGGAGCTGAGTTCTAATTTGCCACTTAAGTAACTATGTAACCCTGAGCAAGTCACTTTAAGTGACTCCATTTCCTCTTCTTTAAAATGTGGCCTTAATACCAACTTCATGTTTGTGAAACACCTGGCCCAGGTTGGGGGTAGGGGAGAGCCAGGGACTGGCATCCAGGAAGACCCCAGTAAAGAAGGGATTTCTGTTGTTTTGCAAACAAATCGCTGACCAAAGTGGTGGGTGACCCAGGCGGGAACTGGGATAGAATTTAGAGGTGTTCATGCAGGTTGAAACCCCACGCTGATCTAGATCAGGATTCCTGCCCCCGACGCTAGGGTCCTGTGCATTGTGAGATGTTTAGTGGCAACCCCAGCCTGTTCCCACTAGATGCCACATGGTGGGGAGGACAATGGCCCCCAAAGATGTCTCCACCCCTATCCTGGGATATGTCACCTCCAATGGCAAAGGGAAGTTGAGGTGGCAGATGGAATTAAGGTTGCTAATCAGCTGACTTTGAGATGGGGAGATTATCCTGGATGGTCTGGTAAACCCACTGTAATCGCAAGGGTCCTTAACAGTGGAAGAGGGAGGCGGGCGGAGAAGAGTCAGAGACAGAGCTGTGACTACGGAAGGAAGGTGCACGCTGCTGCTGAAGATGAGGATGGCACTGCAAGCCAAGGAAAGCAGGCAGCCTCCAGAAGCAGGAAAAGGCAAAGGAAGAGACTCCCCTGGAAATTCCAGAGGGAACCAGCCCTGCCCACACCTCAATGCCACCCATGTTGGATTCTGGCCTCCAGAACTGTAAGGCACTGTGTTTGTGGTGTTTTAGCCACTAAGCCCATGATCATTTGTCACTGCAGCAGTAAGAACCTAACTCATGTCAGTAGAACCCTCCAATTATGACAACCAAAAATGTGTCCAGATAATGCCAAACGCCCTGGGGGTCAAGATGGCACCTAGGTAAGAGCCACAGGCTTGGATCCATTAAGGGGAACTCTTGGATGCGGTCACTCACTCAGTTACAAATATGGCAGGAATGACCCTCCACCAACCCCATCCCCCAACCCCCTTGACATCTTTCCCAGCAGGTGGGACAGATGGTTCCATGGAGAGCGTGCTGGTTCCCCTCTATCTGATATGCACTGTGACTCTCTCTGAGCCTCAGTTTCCTCATCTAGACAATGGGGACGATGCTGAAGTGCCTATCCCATGTGAGCAATAAATAGGTAACCCTGAAGAAGAAGCCAAGGCCCAAGGAGGGGAGGGACTCACTGGATAGTGTCGACAGTGGGACAGAGCCCAGCTCTCCTGAATCCCAGCAGCTGCCTTCTCTGAATCTCTCTCTCATCCTGAACTCAGGGCCCCACACACACCTGCTTCTGTCCAGGTAAAGCTCACCTGGCCACTTTGTGAAGTCATGTGTTACCTGTATACAATTCTGCCTGCCCCAGATAGATATGGGGCACTCACCTGGGACTGGAAAAGGTGATGTTAAGGAACCAGGCTAAGCCCAAGTAGCCTCGCTGGAATGGTCCACCCTGGCACAGCTCCTGCCTGGAGGGCCGGGGGCAGAGAAAACCTCGGGGGCACCTGTGACGAGTGGCTGCCATGGCCCAGCGGCCCCAGCCCAACTTCTGGGAAAGGATACGATCATTTGCCGATCTGAGGGTGACTTCTGCCTCAGTTTCTCCAGCTTTTCCAGCTGTTTGATCTCATTGTTTTGGATGTGTTTGAATTTCTTGATCTCAGCCTGAAGAAAAGAGAAGAGCTATTTCCTGCAGATCCTACCAGGTAAGACCTGGAAGCCGCCCACCCCCAAGAGCCCCTGGCTCACCCGAGTCTGCTTTGTCTGTGCCCCATAGAGCTTCAGGGGGCTGATGACCTTGGTCTCCAGCCTCTCGACCTGGAGGAGCACGTGAGACATGGAGAGAATCAGAGCCAGGGAGGAGCTGCCCCACCTCCAGCCTGCATTTCTAAAGCACATTCGGGGCTGTGCAACATTTCTTTCAGGGGACTTGCAGTTGTAAATCCTTTCTCTGTCCCTTTGAGATGTCAGCAAACCTCTTTTAAAAATGAAATAAGCCCCTTGCCAGTTTTACTTAAGGACCAGGGAGCCGTCTCTTTGAAGTGTAAACATCAAGGGAAACAGCGTCCTCTCCGTGTCTCCGTGGGAGGTCAGCCCAGGCACCTGGCTCCGAGCTCTGAGTACCCGCTTGCCCTAGAGCTGTGAGTTTTATTTTCCCTCTGGATAAAGACGATTAGCTAGCACACGTGGCCACCCAGTTACCACGTGAAACTAGGATGTGCCGTGAGAGAAACAGAGCTGCCAAAGCCTGTTGCTTGAGGACTGTTCTCCTCTGTCTTGAGAACACGTGTGTGTCGGGCTGTTATCTACTTGGCTGTGTAAAAGGGCGACATGTCTGCCCCTCTTTGTGACCTTGTTATCACATTGCCTGTGACATGCAGTGCTATCCAGTCCAACGCTTATTCAATAGTAAAGCTGTTTCATCTTTTCCACAATTCGCAGAGAGGACTTTTCTGAGTTGGCAGGAGATTTCTGTTTTTAATTATCTCCCTAACCCCCTGCAGCCTCCTTGCCCCCAACTTCTCCTCCCCTCTCCAAGATTATCGTCCCTTCTCCAGCCCTTGTGGGCCCTGGGATGTGCCTCCTGCCAGGAATTCCTGGAGCCCACAGAGGTAGCTCCCAGGACTGACCTCCTGGGTCTCCTGGCCTCGTCCAGCTCAGCAAAGCCTCCCTGTCTCTCAATCCTGTAAACAGAGGTGTGACCCCAGGGAGGGAGTGTCCACCCTCCAGGGACACTTTTGGAGACACACATGAGCGATTCCTGCCCCCAGACCTGCCCTGGGCAGTGGGCGGGTCCCCAGGGCATCCCAGGCCCGGGCCGACCCCACTCACCTCAGCCTGCCGATAGTCCTGCACTTTGGCCAAGTGCTCAGCGAAGTCCCTCATGGTGGCCCGCAGCTCGGGGTTCTCGGTGTTGGCAAAGTCAATGAGCTGCTTGACCAGCTGGTCCGCCTTGTCCCGCAGCCGGGCCGTCTTGCGCGCGTAGGCGGCCAGCAGCGAGCAGAACTGTCCGAAGTACTTCTCGGCATTGGTCACTGTGTTCTCCATCACCCTCACACCGCTGTCCCTGGAGAGGCGGGGACTGAGCGGTCGCTCTGGGCAAGGACACTGCAGCCTGGTCACGCCAGGAGCAGATACTGTCACGATCATGGGAGCCACCACCACCCAGCCTTCTCCTGTATGGGAGGACGGGCCAGGTACCTGGTCCCCAGGGTGGCACTGAAGGACACAGCACTGGGCTCATCAAGGCAGGTGAGGGAGACCTGCCTGGGCTGGTCAGTGATAGGGCAAGAATGCAGGTGGGCTTGGCACCAAACCTGGGCCCTCTGAAGGGGCTTTTCTCTTCCTAGCTGAGTCATTCTTTACTCCACAATCCCAAGCTGCTAGGGCCCTGCCCTCTGAAATTCCCCTGTGCACCTTTCCCCCACGCTGCCCAAATTCTCTCCCTTCTCTGAACCATGAAACCTTTTTTTCCCTTAGTTTATGAGCTTTTGGGGGACAGTTTTAGATTTAAAGAAAATCTGAGTGGAAAGTA